AATTGTGAGATTTGAGTCGTCGGATTTTACCGACGTTGCCGGTCCCGATAGGTACTGTTACAGGCCGAATGGTGTGAAATTGACCGCGCCAATGGACTCAGAAGGGTCAAGTTATGGGGGGTAGGACCCAAGTCCGCCGCGGAAAAACTCTCCGGGAGCCACCGCCGCCATATTTCGGTGAGCTGTCGTTTCTTAGGCTATCGACATCCGTTTGATGATCCGAGACCATATCCCGACTCATTTCGACGTGCCGAACGAAATGGTGATGTCCGTTCAACCAAATTCAATTCTGATAAGAATGGTTTGGTACTAGTTGCACGTGGATCGAGGTGGTTCGGACTAAACAAGTGAAGATCAGAATCAAGTGTTTAAAGCTACGATATTCCTCAAGGATCATTCATAGTGCTTACGGCTTTTTCCAAAATTAGTTTTGAGGAATACGCAGGAGGACACGACAAGCGAGATACTATCAGAACCGCTTAGCTCGGAATCCAGGCAAGTACAAACCTTGCTTACAGTTTAATTAAGATAGTCATATAAGGCGTATGAATTTCACGAAATACGTTAATTATGAGATTCATGAATTAGGTTTATGTTTATGTTAAACGTCGTATATAGTTTTCCAATAAAACTTAACGGTTTTTAAATAAGCATGTAAACGAAAATCGTAAAGAAACGATATGCTAGACCCTCAATTTTACGACGGTAAATATGGACCTCAACACTATTATGAGCCCGTCAAGTGAGGTAAAGTAAAGTTTATTAAAAGTGTATTATGGAGGATAATTTAATTAATTATTAAAACTAATTAATTAAATTATCTAAAACTTAGAATATGGTTAAGGAAGTTAATTAATTACTAAGATTAATTAACTAACTTATGTATACTTAGTATATGAATAAAAAGGTTAATTAATTACCAAAATTAGTTAACTAAATTATTAGACTTATTATAAGGATAAGATAATTAATGAATTATCAATTTAGCACAAATTTGTAATGGCAATTA